AAAAAAAAAAAAAAAAAAAAAAAAAACAGCACGCGTTCGCGAAAGTAGGAGGTGCGAGTACGCGACGCGTGGAACTGGCAGCCATGGGGCCAGTCACCAGGACCTGCGTCCCGGGCCGGGGGAGATGCACACGAGTCATCGAGGAAGGACTTCCAAGTGGGGACAACAATTGCCATTTCATGGCGCTCCGCCGGCTCAAACAACCTCTGGGCCAATGATGCGCCAATGACGACCCTAGTAGCAAGCGCGCTGCGCTGCCGTTGAAGCTAGGAGGCTTGGGACTGCGTTGTGCCGTGGGAGGCAAAGGGCGGCGGCTCGCGTGTGGCGCGAAAAAGAGGCACGAGTGGCATCTAACATCCCCCTACGCCACATGAATGTTGATGTACCCAAAACTGACGCGCAGCCGACTGCCGATCGTGTCGCAGGCACGGCACTTGAGCCGGTGGGGAAAAACAAACGCCTTGTTGTGCTTGGCCTGGAGGTTGACGGCAGGTTCAGCCGCGAGGCTTTTGCCCTCCTCCGGCCCGGCCGTACAACATGCATCCACACATGTGGACGTGTGGCTGCGCAGCGCGCGCTGGCCTGCTCATTGCTTGAGTTGCCGGTGGCGGGGGCGGACGACTGCCACGGCACGGCATGGCACGGCGCCGCTGTTTGGGCGACTTGACGCCGACGACCTGACGCCGAGGTTGTGCGGGCGAGCCGTCTCCCAGCTGCAGGTTTCTGCTGGCCATGATGCTGGACAGTAGCGGTAGTGGCACGTGCGACTCCTGTAGTTCTTCCCCGACCCGTAGACCGTCGTCTGCACGGTGAGATGATCCGGGGGCGGTCCGCTTCGTGCAAGATCTCGTCAGGCTGCGTGCACAGCGTGCCCCCCCGGGCAGTCCGGACAGCTGCCGCGGCGGGCTGGTCGAGACGCTGGTGGGGCGTGCTCTCGGTGGCTGCCCAACAGGCGGTGGCGGGCACGGCCCTTGGCCGCACTTGCCGGCGCAACCACAGGCGGGACCGGGCGACGGGCCGCCACTGGATCACGTCCTGCACCTGGCGGATGCTGAGCAGCCAAGTCGCATGCATTCGCATGCCACTGCGGCCCTAAGTCGGGACCGCCGGGGTTGGGGACTTGTCAGGATGGTGCTGATGGAAAAAGGCGTGAAGAAAAAAAAATCCACGTTTTGGGTGACGGACAGACACATAATATGTACCTTGGACGGAAAATTTGTAAAAAAAAAGTTGTCGCGACGTTCGACGCCAATGAAGAACAGAGCTGGCGCATCGTATCAGTGCAGCGTGGGGAAGTTCAATAAGCTGAGATTCATATTCGTGAACAAACAGCAGTCACTCAAAGGCAGATTGAAGCTTTTCAACGCCGTGGTCACTCCTACGGCACTGTTCGGACTTTCTACATTGGCACTGACGGCGCGACAGCTGGAGCCCCGGCGACGCCAGTGACGGCGCCGAAGTGCCGGTCGACGACCTTTTGGCGGAGCTGCCGTAGTGCCGACCAGACTGCAGGCAGGCGCAAAATAGGCGTGTGAGGAAAAAAAATCTCGAAACTGGGCTACGTTCCATGCAATGGCATGTTTTCGCCGGCGCAGCGTGCGGACCGGAAACCCGAAACTGGGCTATGGCCACAGAATGGCGCGACAGCTGGAGCCCCGTCGACGCCAGTGACGGCGCCGAAGTGCCGGTCGGCGACCTTTTGGCGGAGCTGCCGTAGTGCCGACCAGTGCGGACCGGAAACCCGATACTGGGCTATGGCCACAGAATGGCAATGCTTTCGCTGGCGGAGTGCCCGGACAGGAAACCCGAAACTGGGCTCCGTTCCATGAAGAGGGCCGGGTCTCGATGCATGCTGTTTTGGAAACTCATCTCATGAAGCTTTCACGTGTAGATACTGGCCGCTGGACGGTTGTTTCAGGACCACTGCTGCTGCTCCTATACAGGCGCGCAATGCTTCGCTTCGTCGAGTTCGCTTTTCGAATGGTCTGTGTGTCTGTGATCTTAATGCTCTTGGAGATGGAAACAGAATGCTCGGGGCGGCTCGCAAGGAGGCTGGTCGTGCTCGAAGCGGGAGGATGTTGGATTCGTGTGCGCGCTTGCCGCGCGCCGGCAAGCAGCGGCAGCGGGCTGGGCGAGAAGGTGGTGGAGCGTGCTGTCGGTCGCCGTGCAAGCGGCCGTTGCCACCACTGCCCTTGGCCAGTCGCCCCACACTTCCAGGCTCGGACTTCACACCGCTGGACCATGTCCTGGAGCCGGGTGTGAGCGCGGCGGTTCGCCGCCTGCCCATGCGACCATGAGAACACGTGTATGCGCCACAGAAAGGGAGCGTGGAAAAAAAATATGCTGTTGGTGAGTATTTTGGAATTTTTCCGCATGCTCGCCGTCCTCTCAAATCTGGGAAGGGGAAGTGTAGTCGCACGGGGTCTGAAAAAAAAAAAACTCTTTTCCCACCCGCCCGCCCGGGGATGTCTAGGGACGCGCTCACTCTTCTTCGTGTGAGGCGTGTTCTTAAAGGCCCTGTGGGCACATGGATTTGTCCCGATTTGTGGCTGTGCCGTTAAAGAAGAAAGGAATGCTTGAATCCTCAAAATGCATGACTCTGTGCGCTTACGAGCTTTTTGAGATCAAGATTGGATGCATTTTTTTGATACAATTTTTGTGAGGATGGAGTTTGAATATGATTAGATTGCATTCTTTTGAGTTTCTCACCCTTTTCGAACAGTTGCGCGATGGCCAGGAGGTCAAGTTGGGCGACCTCTTGGCGGGGGGGCCCGCCGATGGACAGCTGGCTGCCGTGCTGAGCTGGCCAGGCAAAGAGGACCGGGGAGCACCAGGAAAAAGGCGTGCAACAAAAAAATGAAGTTGCGATGGCTGTAAGTCTGGGCGTTGCGTTGGGCCCTCGCGTTGTTTGTTACTTTTTGGGTGTGAGCCGCAAGAAAACGCTGATCTTAGGCCACGGAGGAAAATGACCAGTGTTGGATTGTTTATTCTTGACGATTCCTTCAGACAGTGTCTGTCGGAGTCTGTCGATTTGTGTAGGCTTAGGCTTGGAGCATGATGTCTGCTGCCTGGCAGCGTGTGCCGCTTTGGGCATGTTTTCCTTTTGCCTCGCATATCCTCGCATTGTAGCTAAACGCACCCTGCAAAACCCCAAAATGCAAAACCGGGCTGGGGCCTCGTTGAGCGACGAGACCACGCCCAGAAGCAGAGCAGGGCATTGAATAATTTTAGCCAGCGCATGGATCATCACATGTACGCACGTCGAGTACTAGCATTCGTGCCGGAATAGTGTCAAGCAAAGAAAAAACGAACAACAACACGGCCGAACAGAGTTGTGCACGTTGCGGATTGTGGTTTTGGCTGCATAGCAAAAATTTAGTTTTGAATGTATATGGCGTGCTTGGCCAGTGGGTGTCTCAGATGCCTTTTCGCTACTTGGTAAAATGAACAAAATGTTCGTGCATCATATGACAGGCGAGGCCGAAGTACGACAATGCCATGCGTGCGGCGAAGGTGTCACCATGTGTCAGCCGATTCGTAGCACTGACGGGGTGAGTTTGCCACTTTGAAAAATGCAGGCCGCAAAAGATGTGCAAGCTGCAAGACCCTCGAGTTTGATGGGTTTGCAATGCAAGCGCCGACAGCAGCAGCTGGAGTTTTCAACGAAACTTCCCAAGGCATCAGCTGAGTTAGTGGATCGGCTATGCCACTTCTTCGGGGAAGAGGCCGGAAAGCTTGAGCAAGGGCCACATTCCAGTGCGTGGAGCGTCAGGTGGCAAACCTTCCAGCCAAATTTGACAGCCAGTTGTATGCTACTGAGGTTCTTGAATGTCGTGATGGTGCAAAATGGGGGGGAAAGTGTTCTACTCCTGCCTTCTGCGTGTGTTGAGGCCAAGTGACAGCTTGGATTGGTACGTGGAGTATCTCGACAAACAGGCGTGTTGCTTCTTGGTTGGTTGCTTGGCTTTGGCCAGTGTCATGCGCACGGGCAGGCATTTCCCATACTTCGCCGCGTGATGCGCAACATCCAAAGCTTTTTTGCAGGTCGTTTCGATTAGGTAGGGTCGCATGCGAGAAGCTTAGGCCTACTCTGTTGCGAACAACCTGATGACCCTTCAGCAGCAATTCTTCTAAGCCTGGCAAGACACCTTTGCGATGCGCTTGGGGCCGAGATTTCGTCCCGCGACATGCAGCAACACTTACAACGCAAGCGGGCATCACCCAATCAGCACTACGGTTTGACCACCACTTAGCTGATACGTTGATGCCAGGACCCTGCTCGCAGAGTTGCATTCGGTGCTCGGGGTTGAGCTTCAAGCCAGCGCCCAGGGGTGATGGCTTAAATGTAGTTGGACAACCTTGTTTGCAAAACAGCGAGGTGGAGGAGGCCGAAGTTATGGACAGCCCAGTGGTGCCGGTCCCGCCACTGCAACCAAAGCCGCAGGACAGGGGACCATTATTGACCAGGGATGCCCATGGGTGGGCCCAGATTATTTAGGGACTCTTCAATGATTCGCAAAGGTACTCGCTGAAACCGTTTCTAGTACATCACGAATCGCTTAGGCACAACAGAGTTTCGTGGGGTGGCAATTGCAGGTGGGATGGCGAGGGGTGTGGTGGGGAGGGGTAAAAAGACACGGGCATTCGTTTGCAAGGGGGGTGCAGCCAATGCAAAGGGAGATGCACTTGGGAACGGATGTGGTTTCATATGACACATGAACATAGCTGCCGTGCTTGAAAATTTGCAAAGCCCGAGGAGTCATCGCCCAGAAGATTGTTGGTCCTGGCACCCAGACCCTTGCGCACGGCAGCATGACTCATGTTGGGCAGAGCAAGACCGACTTCAAGGCATGATGGTTCCACTCGGCTAGCAGTCATGGTTCAAGGAAAGCGTGGCATTGCTAGAGAAAGGGCCAACCCACCGCAACCACGATCTTGGTGATGTCTTGTTGTCTAAACAAGTTGCCGCTCTACAGCAAGACATGATGTTGAAGTGAGCCATGCGCGCTTCAACATGCCCGTTGTTGGAGCAAGCCTTGTTGCGGAAAAGGTTGGGAAGCAACGCAAGTATACGTATATAGCTCACGGGATAACAGTGTTGGACCTACTTTGCCGGCTTAGAGAAGTTCCAGCATCATTTTGTTATCCATCAGGTTGTACGCCATCAATTGCCACGGTGAAATCTTATAGTGCGCCGCGGCGACATCCGCCAAGTAATCCGCATTCCGAGTGGGCAGGTGGGCAGCCCGTCGACAGTTCGGAGTGTCTGCGCGGGAAATGCTTGGTGTCAGCTGGAACTGCAGCGAGGAGGACTTGCCTCAGCTTGTGGCGTCCTCACTTCCGGTGCAGATTTCGGGAGTGTCGCTGTTTTGGTTTAGGGATCGGGCCAGGAGGTCCGGAAAGCTTTTCGCCAACGTGCAAAGGCGCATGCGGGGTGGCCGAAGAATGCCGAAGAGGAACAAGAAGCAACAGTGAAGCAATCTGGAGTCTTGAAAGGCTTTACATCCAGACATGCAGCCAGATGGGAGCGACAAGGAGGTGGAATGAACTGAAATGAGTGTTGTTCAATGTGGCTTGCAGAATCAGTTCACGACGAGAAATTGCTGTAGATTCTGGAGGCTGCCGCTGCAAAGTTCCGCGATATCCAGGACCTCTGGGGCACACCTGCGCTCTCCTTGTGATGTCTGGCTGGAGGAGCAATTAGACCCAAAGCGTGTCCATGATGTTTTGCCCGCAAAGTCAGCCTTGCATCAGGCTGTCGCGCTTCCATTGCTGCTGGATGTTTCTTTGGTGAGCTTGCTAAACGTGTTTGGAGGAGGCCTATGAGGAGGTGCTGCGCGAAGTGAGAGGTCTTCCTGTGGGGAAGCCGATCTCCAGGCTTGCAGGGCTTCAATTTGGTGTTGGACGTGTTGGACACTACCAGGGGCCAGGCCTTTCATCGCTGCTACTGTATTTGCTTTCCTGGGTGTCATGTCGCCTCGGACTGTGCAACTACTAGTCGTGCCAATTTGGCTTTCCCTTTAACACTGCGAAAAAAGAAGGCTTTGCGCAGTTCAGAACAACGATGACATGTAAACTTATGTAAGAAAGATGAGGTATTCAAATTTTTCATCAAGGCAGAAACTGTTACCCGCCTGTGGTTCAAATGAATCCCACTGCCCACTTGTGGAGTCTCATGCGGATCGCCTCGCCCACTAGCGGAATCCCATCACCCACGAGTGGAAGTCCGCTACCTAGTAGTGGAACATGGCCCAGGCCCAAAGAAGACCCACCACCCGCCAGTGAACATACGACGCGCCACTAGTAGCCACTTCTCACTGTGGAAACCACACAGCCACACAGTCGAACCCACTCGGTAGTGGAATCCCATTGCCCACTCGTGAAATCACTGCCCGCCTCCGTGGCTGGTGCTGGCAAGATAAAGATGGCACTTGGGAGGATGTACTAGTGGAATCCAGTTCTAGTGGACTCCCTCTACCCTAGTGAAATCCCATTACCCACCAGTCCACGTGGAAAGCCACTTGTGGAAACCCACTACCCACTACATCCCACTACATAGTGGAAACCCACGTCGCGCAAGACCAGAGCTGCTTCAGCCCTCGTGCGAAGCCACAAAGCCCTGCCCAACCAAGTTCAGGAAGCCGAGCTTATCGATGCACATCGATGTCGGGTTTCCACTTGTGCAGATATTGGTGTGAGAGGCGATACGTAGTGATGTTTTTTTTTTGGGGCTTATTGCTGCTTTGGAGATGTGACATTGAGATTGGTGTTTTAGTAATAAGCCATTGTTGATCTCCGTCGGTTGCAAAGTCAAAAGCAGAGACAGCGAGTGCAGACAGGCTTCGGCAAATGCCCTTTTGCAGGCAGAGGCACAATGGGCCAGAACCTGCTTACAAGAGCAGAGAGTGGGTTCACGCCTTATACACCTGGCGATTGCAAGTCTTGCCGTTGGGAAATGTAGCTTTGCAAGGATGCAGCGCGTCGGCAATCGCCTCCCAGCAAGCCGGGCTTTCGCAACCTGTCGTTGCTCGGTGCAACATGTGGCCTGGATTCTGCCAGGCTTCTGCATTCGGACGGGTTCGAATGCGTGTTTGCAATTTTGTCAGGAGAGTGAACTACGGAACTGTCAATCTGCTACAGTCCATGTGCCTTCCTGTACTTGCGGTAAGTCACACGCACGAGTGTAAGGGTGGAGCTGATTCTGCTCAGCAAGGATGGCGGCGATAGCCACCTGCATGGCTCTCACATACATCTCGTTCAGTGCGGATGAGCAGGTAAGCGGTCAGGCTCCGACAGCTGTGATGTAGCCGAGAAGAGATGATCGCAAAGTGTTGGATGTGGCGTTGTCTTTGGAGGAAAAGCAAGAGTTTGCTGCGAAACATGTGCGGCTTCGTCAGGCGCCACTGGCATCAATCTGGCAGCCCCACATTCCCTAAATCATTTCGCACCCCATTCGCTCGGAGCTAGTTAAAACTTAGTGCTCTCCCCCTGCTTGCAGTAGCCTGCACTGCATGTCCCGGTGCCAGGAACAAGCAGAGCGTGAACAACGCGAGCTGAAGCGGCAGCTTGAGCGCCGTGCTGGACGGGTAGTGTAGGCCAGTGTACACAACCGTACGCGGCAAAACCGCGTGCAGCGTTTGCCACTCAACATCGTTCAACCATGTTTGCTCGAAGCTTGAGATTCTGGCTTTGCCCTCCAGCGGCAGCATTGTGTCCGCTTGTGGAGAAGTCCAGTCGCTGTCCAGGTGCAGAAAGCGCGGTTGTCTGTACCTCAGCAGGTCGCCGCACTGCCCGTATTTGCACATCCCCGAGTTTGCAACAAATTTTCGGTTCTGCCAAGGGAACAAGCCCAGGCAGAAGGCGTGCGGTTGCTGCAGTGCTAACGGCTTTGGCGATGTATGTCTGCAAGACTTCTGTGAGTCAGTGTCTCCGCTCGCGGTCTTTTTGTTGCTACCAGGTTTGAAATGGTCTTGTCATTGCAAGGGCCATTGCAAGGGTGCTTCTTCGCAGTAATTGTGGTGTGGTTGTGGGGGGTAGGCCAATGAGCAGCACCCTGCGACGTGTTGAGGAGCAGGCTCTGCTGCAGGGCCTTCCTTTACCGAAGCAGCTCCCGCCTTGGTTGGACCGGACGAGTACAGCATCGACTCACGCCGCAGACTGAGGGAGAGATTGCGAACCACCTTAGCACCTGTCAGTCAGTTTGATTCAGCTCACTGCGTGGCTCTCGCCCGCTGCGTGTTCTGCCTTTTCGGTCGTAGTCATGCGTCTGACCTTGCGGAGTTCTGCCGCCTGGATCGCCGTCAATGGCCATGGACTCGAGTGGGAAGCTTAACATAGACAGATTGCGCCATAGCGTGTGGATCACGATGTTTCCTTATACGTTCCGACCTCTTGGTGATCTAACCGAGCCTTGTTCACATGATACGTCCTCTTTGTCATTTGTTGCTTCGCTTACTCGCTGCTGCACCGGCCGGTTGACTTAGTTCTCCCGGCGCTGCCTGAGCAGCAAGCGGAGCACGACTCTGAAACCGATCGTGGGCGGCCCAGACTGTCGATAATGGCTGGCTGGTGGCTACGGCCTGGCCCAAATAAGGAGCAGAGGAGTCAAAGCATGGATCCAAGCTTTGCAGCTTCAGTGTGCATTTCGTGAGCCCAGGTGTGCATTTCGTAGCAGTTGTGTGTCGATGTCTGGTGCATCTTCACCAGCGAACTTTGGCGTGTAAGGCACAGTCGCAAGGGGCGCACAGGGCTCAGAACAAGTGGTAGAAGCAGCACATCGTTGCGGCCAAGTTTCGGCTGATAGCAGATGGCACCTGTAAGCTGGGAATCTGCAAGCTGAATGAGGCAAGAGGGTGACAGAGATGACACAGGTCCCCAAGGCAGAAGCTGCGATTTTGTCCAGCTTCTTTCACAGTACCGCGTGCGTAGCGCAAATGTCCTCGACAGTGCAGGACACCTTTCTTGCCAAAGAGGAGACCTTGGAACAGTTGAGGCAACGCACAGTCGCACAAGTGTGGGTTAACACATCGGACTGACTTCAAGGCTTGATTGAAGGCTAGAGGGTATCCATGCATTCAGGATCGCTGTGTACCTTTGCAGTTTTTTGTATGTACGTTCTGACCATTCAGGAAGGTGCCCATCTTTGCCAGCCTGGACGCGAAGGACTTGGAGCGAGTTGGCACCTTAAAGGAATGAAGTGTCGCGGAAAATTGGGGTGGGGCGTCTGTCAGTCATGTTGTCATGTTTCTTGGCCCAGTGTGCATAGTCGCAGCGTGAGCATCGAAAGCGTCTGCGCGCAACAGTCACGGGAAAAGTCGCGGCAGGTTGCCGGGATTGCCCAGGTTCGCGCCTATGAACAGGCCCTGAGCCCAAACTAGACTGCAGCTCGAATCCTGGACCGCTAATTGTCTGCAACTGCTGCAACAGGATGAAGTGATCGTGAATTATGGCATGGATGTTGAAGGATTGCACATCGTGCTTTCAGGTGCGAGCTCGGCACAGCATGTGACGCAAGCCGCAAAAAGCAACCTCTCTTAGCCCACGTGCTGGTCGAGAGGCAGCGCGCAAATCTCCGTGCCGCAGCCGGCTGGAACCCTGAGGCAGGACATGAGGTTGACAGCCGTTTAGTGCTTTCTGACCACACGTGCAATCATGTGAAGCGAACCTTCCGATCCTGCCAGTGCCGGGCAGTACACGGGGGCGGAGGCTCTTCAGGCGCGAGATGCCCATTGACTGTTGCACGACCTTTCCACGTGCATAAGAAGGCAATCAGCGTTTGCATTTATTCCCTTCTGCCTTCTGCCCACCACGTTGCTCAGCCTGTTCGGATGATTCTTTTGGGGGCTCGAATCTTGAAGAACTCTTCTTAGAAATAATGTTTCCTCCAAGCCTGCGGAAGGGACACCTCGTTTCCTTGGAATTTTGAGAGGTCAGTCAGAGAGGACTCGAAGGAAGGAACAGAAGAGGGGAAAGAAGGTATCGAATCGTTCCCGAAATACGAAAGAAAACCTGCGAATGGAAGGAAAGGAGGGAAGGGATGGGAAGGGAAGGGAAGGGACGGGACGGGAAGGGACGGGAAGGGATGGGAAGGGACGGGAAGGGAGGGACGGGAAGGGACGGGAAGGGATGGGAAGGGACGGGAAGGGAAGGGAAGGGGAGGAGGGAAGAATGAGGAAGGAAATGACCCCAAACGCAACTTGTGCGGCAACGAGGACGTGCGGATAAGTGCGAAACGGTGTTAGGAGAGCCAAGGTTGTCCCTGGCCAAACGACTGCAAATCTGCGCTAGTCCGGTTTCTACTGCAACCTTTTTCTTGTGAGGTGGGGCAGTCCCGTGCCAGCTCTCAGCTTACGGCTGGTGCAGATGCCACACCCTTGGTTCCAGAGTGAGGCAGTGAGGTTGCCTTTGGGCATTTGAGGTTGCCCTAGGGTGTCCTGGAAGGTTTCGGGGCACGGACAGCCGATGCCAAAAACTGAGGTCCGCACGCTGTGCGTCTCGAGAGCAAAGTACGAGGATGCTCCCCAGCTGTTGCAACAAGATTGGGGAAGGTGTAGAACGTTAGCTGTTAGCCTTGATGTAATGCTGAGTCGAGCACGGAGGATCTTAAGATGACACAGCCCAAGTTGAAGAAGGACGATCGTGTCAAGGCACAAGGGCATTTTTTAAGGGCTTCGAAGTCGCTGCAAATCACAACTTGTGCTGCGTGCTTGTGTTAAGGCCCGCAAAATGATAGGGTCGGTTTCGACTGCCCTTCAGATGACCAGAAATCGCAAGTTGGGCGCTTGCCATCTGCTGTGATCGCATGACATGATTGCTTGACTTGTTGACAAGCGCCTCAGTGCATCCAGTTCGTGCTTCTGACACTGAGGATTTCACTGCCGCCAGACGTGCCAGGAGCCCACCGTTATAGGTTCAATCGGCATCTTGCAGTGGCAACATGCAGCAACATGTAGCTATTGAAAAGCTCTCTGGGTAGTCTTTCGAGTTCGCAATGCAGAAGAGCTGTAGTATGTGTGAGTCGATGCGAACTGGCTCATGTGTTTCTTGAGGGTTTCTTGAGGTGCCATATCACTGGACATCGGAAGGTGCTAGACTACCAGAAAACCGACGAAGACAGGCTGTCGACAGTGAGCTTGGGTACTTGGCCACGAAGACCAACCAAGCTGTAGTGCTGGGCAAGGAACCTATTTTCCGACACTCGCATGACATCCTTTAGCAGGGTTGCCATGGGTAGCCTTATTTGCAGAGTTTTGTGTTCGGCGCGTCCCCGGCATGATGCATCCGGCGTGCGGCCTGACATGGGTTGGTTGGGCGATCATGCTGGTCAGGCAAATGATTTCCAAAGGCTTGAAGAACAACAAGATCCTCTCTGAGGCAATTTGCCCAAGCTGAAAGAAGTGGTGCCAGCGCGGCGTCTCCAGTAGGCTCTGCTTTCGCATTCTGTTGTGTTTTGGAGTCGTGGCAGAGTGGCACTCTATTCCTTTGCAGGTGGTCGGCCTCACGCAGGACCAGTGTGATCATGTTGTCAGCGCGACACACCTGATCGAGGCGAGCAGCGGAAGTTGATTCAAATCACGACCACTCGAGTCACTAGAGCTTGGTTTTGCTTTAGCAGGATGAGTCCGGAAAGCTGCGAGCAATTTATTCATATTGATTCTATGAGAGGATGAGGGGGGGCGGGGAGTAGTATGGAACGATTCACAGGAAGCCGATTGTCCCAAGCAACTTTGCTCTTTTGGCTAGCTTTCGTTGGCCTCGGCTTGCCTCCTCGTTTCTCCGATGTTCGAAAGCATTCTTGTGCCTGGAGGTTCCAAGCGGGACTTGTGTCTTCAAGTCGCACACCCAGCTCTCAGAGTTTTGATATTTTTGAGCCCTTGATGCCTCTGTGAAAGGAAAGGGGATCTTGGCACAGCGCTCTTCATCGTGCAGGAGGGGTTGCTGAAGGCTGGGCGAGGGGATCAAGTTGATCTGAAGTGCCGAATGTACCTATGATTTCGCATGGCAGGTGAACTTGGTGACGTTTGAAGTGGTGCCCGGTCCCCGGTCCCCAGGGTGCTCCGAATCTTGCCGCAGGCCACGAGAATCCGAGAACTTGTGCCCTAGCATGATACGTCACCGTTATGTGCTGAGGTTGCGAATTGGCGACACTTTCGGAGAGCTTGCCTTGCTTTACGACGAGCCTCGTACGGCGGGGTGGCAGCTAGAACAGAAGATCATGGGAGTTGTCTGTTGGGGGGGGGGGTAAACGTGATTCACTGTGTTCCAGGCCACCATCGAAGCCACACGCGACTGCAGGCGAGATAGCTGATGGATCAGGGATTTGGGGGCAAGAGTCAGGAGGGGACGTGTTTCCTCAAAGCTGCAATCTCATTTGGAAGTTTCGTGCAAGTATGCCATGGAACGTGCATGCCTTTGTCAGGACATCTGCTTGCAATCCGTAATCGGATACATGCCAGTTGGCTGATCCCCGCTCGGCGTCATGCTTTCTTCATGTTCGCATCGGAGGCTTTGGGTGCTGCCACGCACCATGTTCAAGGCAAGAGGGCATGGCAGCCAGCTGACTCCGACCGCGACGCATATGTCCCCCTTGATTCTCTTCGCCGGGTGCAGGAAATGTTGCAGAGCACAGCTGTGCTGAAGGCCAAGGAGCACCTTGGCCGAGGAGAGTCTGCTGGCCACAGCAAGAGACCTCTCATGCCATGTCGTGCCTCGCGCCTTGGTCCTTGCCCTTGAGCCTAGGTATAGCATGATGCTGCACCAAGTGCCGCTCATCCGAGAGCAGGCTCTCTTGCACATGGGTGGGCAGAAGGCGGATAAGAGGTGTGGGCTCCGACGGGCACCGACGGGCGGCGTCAATTTGCAAGCTTTCGCCACATTCCCTTTTTCTTGAGCCGAGAGAAGAGGTGGACTTGGCACTGCTCTCGGTCCTGGCCGGAGCTCTTGAGGCCGAATGTGTTCCATGGATGCTTCCACGAGTTTCAACTACTTTGAACAGTTTCCCGGCAGCCCCGCACGGGTTTGATCAGCCCCATTTCGCATCCCGACACGCTAGCGGCCGGTAGTGGCCGGCCTGTGCTGTGCAGCTCTTCCCGAGTTGTGGCTCTCGAAGTCGGGGCGGCTTTACTGCTTGCATAGGAGACGGTGCTGGACAAAGACGAGTTTCTGTGCGTTCGGGGCCATGGACCCGGCCGCACCGTGTTCTGCGGGCTGAGGGGTCGTTGCATCTTCCTCGTGCTCGTTTCTTTGGCTCAGCGAGTGTGATGAGTGTGTCTTGGCTTCAGCTTGTCAAGGTGAGGATGAAGGTATGCTCTTCTTGATCGCCAGCGGTGAGATGCTCAGATTCTGACCAAGAAGAGCAGTTTCAAGAACCTGCCGCTTGTGCGACAGCGTCGAGGTTTCTGCTCCGTCATCGACGCCGACCCAGACGACCAATCACATGTGGCTCGCAAACTTCATGTCGCTTGCAACGTTGCTCAGTGCAACGCTCGTGCAACAAAGCATGGTTTCGCCAAACCTCCGACCAGCCTCCAAACCGCCTTTCAGCAACATCGTCTCTCTCTCTCTCTCTGTCTCTCTGTCTCTCGGTCTCTCTGTCTCTCTGTCTCTCTGTCTCTCTGTCTCTCTCTCTCTCTGTCTCTCTGTCTCTCTGTCTCTCTGTCTCTCCGTCTCTCTGTCTCTCTGTCTCTCTGTCTTTCTCTCTTTCTTTCTTTCTCTCGTTCTGTCACGGGATGATTCGTCCATGCTGTCACTTGCTCGCGTTCAGGTGAAGAAGGGCCTTCTGAAAGGCGACTGGCCACTCGGGTTGCAGTACGGAGTGATGGAGCTGGTGGTCCCTTCATTTTCTCCATGTGAGTTCCGGTGAGTGAGGATTGGGGAGATGCAGCTGAGCGAGATGGCGCCAGCAACCAGGCTCTGATCTTGCTAGGAAGTACAAGATAGTGTTATTCTTCTCGATGGAGCTCCCTGGGGCTCCCTGGGGCTCCCTGGAGAAAACTTTCGACTCGTAGCTCAGCATCTCCACGTCCACAGCGTGCTCCCCCTACGGCACAAAAAAGAGAGCGACTGTCGTGCCACACCTTCTCTAGATCTCTTTCGGGGGGGGAACCCTTGCATTGCTCGACTTTCGCCTTGACACGAACTGATTGAGATAATGCGCGGCACATGGGAAAGACTTGGCGCATCCGATCAGCACCGCGGAGTGGAGAACCGTGACGATCTCTGTTTGCATATTGCGCCTTCTTACACCATACTAAGTCTATATCTGTGTTGCTTGGCATGGGCATATTGCGGAGTGGCAGCTTGTTGAATGGGAAGGGCCCTTGGGATAACCTGAGTATTCAAGGAACGGAAGGGTACGCTGCGAACAGTAGGCGAGAAGAGAGGTGAGGGTACAAAGTGGCCGGGATGCCCTTACGGATGGGGGAGATGGGCGCTCTGCTTTCATGAATCGATGATGCAGCTGAAGAATTTGGATGTTGCTGTCCTTGAAGTATCCGAAGTCTGCTGACGGATCCCCGATCAATGAAACGCGTCTGGCTTGGCTTCTCAAACATTTGATCGCAAATGCCTGCCGTAAACTCTGAACCTTGCTGCCCTGGCAGGACAGTTGTGGTACAGTCAGAGAAAGCGACTGTTTTGTCGCTGGATAGCTACCACTTCGAACTGGCCCCTTACCCAGATCTGCTGCGCTTCTGTTTGCTCGGGGGTGCTTCATAAGCGCTGGGTAGTACAGGTATGCTGTCATCCAACTGGCAGATACTGGCAGCTGATTGATTGTGTTGTCAGCTCGAGGTACGCCTGTCACGGCTGTTCGTTTAGCGACTCCTGCCTGCTGGGCTCAAGGTCCAAGGATCGTGCGCCACAAGATCCCACACGCAGCAACAAGACGCATGGCCACTTAGCCGACTCTCTGCCAAGCGCAGGCTAAAGGCAGACTACGGTTAGGAGCTTCAACCTCTAGAGCTCAACTCCACCATGGCTTGGGACGAGAAGAACCGTGACGAATGGGCGAAGCAATTCCTGGAGTGCCTTGGCCCACAAAACTTTTAGGGGAGAATTTTGTGGCATAACAGAACGCAGAAGAACCCAGGAAAACCTTCAAGGAGGCCCAGATCCCGCTGGAGGGCACGGAGGGTGCCACCATGAGTTCCATGGCCGCTCTCGGCATTGCCAAATGTCATCATGCATTGACTGCTGCAAGAGTCTGTTTCTGCTTGTTTTGTCTTCTGACAGTAGGTCGTCTACTGAACCTAGAAAACGTCCACAAGATTCTACAAGCGTGCCCGCAGGTTTCTTCCGGGTGGAGACGAAAGGTGACTGCGCGCTGGCTCTTAAAGGCCGCATCATCTGATTCATGTGTCTGCCTTAAGGGGCTGGCCCAGAACGGCTACCTTAACTACTTCAAGGTTTTCCTTGGTGTGCGCCTCTCGCGATGGCTGGTGATGAGTCTTTTCTCTGTGCAGGCGGTAAGGCCCAGCCAATATTCGAGCTCAAGATCGATTTAGTCGGGCCCTGAGCCGGCTGAAAAAACCCACTCGATCGCTCACCAAATCGGTCGGAACCGCAAGGATTGGAAGGTGGAACAGCCCATCGAGCAACGCTGCCGCAAAAAGACTGTTAACAAAGCAAGTCACGGCAGAGAGAGAGAGAGAGAGAAAGCAAGTCTGGGCGAGGGAGGATTTTACAATCGTGAACAGTGGAAGTGATTCATTCAAACATCTCCTTCTCAATTCAACGCCCTCCTCGTAGAGAACCAAACAGCGATGCGAAGAGAGCAAACTGCAAGGCCTCAACATGCCTCAGCGAGTCAAACCATGTCAGACAGTCCAGTCATGCGACGTATTCGGTGAGGAAGGGCCGATCGATTCTGGAGGCGAAAGGCCAGATCCAGATCACAGACTTCAGCTCGGAGGACGGTTGCTGTCTTCGTGGCATTCTGAGTGCGTTGGTGCCCAGTTGCCAGGATAGTGGGGAGCCGCAGATGAAGCTCATTTGCGACAACCAGCTGCCTCCAGGCCATCTGCCGAGATGTGCTGCTTGCCCGGTATTCTTCCAGTGTGATGGCAGGTGCAACCCCCGCATTCCAGGCCTGCCGATTTCCAACCCATGTTCTATAAGATCGGAATGGCGACGAAGAGTCCAGGCATGTCTAAACGAACCAGCAAAGCCCATACAGGCTGCGGGTCCACAGCCGGCGGCTTTACGATGCAGCACACCGAAGACTGGCTCAAGGGTTCCACAAAAGGACAAGTCATCGATCCAAGATTCCAGTACTTCAGGGTGCACATGGGCGCGCCCGAATCATGCACATCACCATTGCAGTCATACAACAACTCCCCCCGCCCAAGTCAGTGAGCCAGCAAAGGGCGGGCCAGCGCCTTGTTGCCCACATGGCGTCGTACGGCCGCCACCTCGGCCATCTGGGCCTTGTCTCCACAGGCACAGCTGCTGCCGAAGCATCGAATCGTTCCTGAAGCTTGTTGCTGTGGGCAGGCAGATTTCGTTGAAACCCTACTGGGTAGCAGGTTTGCAGAAGTTCTCGCTCTGCCGCAGGCATTGGTGCGGTTCTTTTCGTTTGCCTCTTCAACTTGGATTTGCCGTCTCTTCAACTCTGGCCGGCGGAGCAGCATATCTACATTGTCAGGCCTCAGCCCTGCTCCGTACAATCTTTCTCCTCTGAATTTCGTTTCCTTATGTCTCCCGTCCCGTGAACATGAAGCATTTTATTCACAGGCACGGCGACAAGTACAGCAGCCTCTCACCTGCATTCCGAAGCTTCTCGCTGGTTCAGACGGCCGCCGCATGGTTCTCCGTGTTTCTCTTTGGTTCTCTTTGTGCTGACCCCAAAGCAAGAACAGCTATGCCCTAGCATCAACATTCTCTTTAGGCTACCCACCCTGCAACGGAACGGCAAGCGGCATCTGCTTTGATGCCGAGGCGGCAGCCATGCTATTCGCTTGCTTGCTTGTTCGCTTCAGGGGTGTGTTTGTGAGTGTGTGTGTGTGTGCGCTTTTGCATGCCAAGGATTTTGGCTAAGCGACTAACCCCTCAAAAAGAGCAAAAAACCCACCCCGAAGGTTGTGATATAAGAAAGTGCCATATCTGGCTCGCCCCACCTCTAAAGCCAGTGTAAGGACGATGAGGAAGTTGATGGTGGAGCCCCCCCCCGCCCTCTCCCCGCCCCGGTCGCGCGCAGCAGAAGCTCACCAACCTTGCATCCCTTTTGATGTTTTCACGCAGAATGTTAAAAGCCTTGTGCAGCACAAGTGGTTGGACTTATCGTCGGCATGGCACGCCGCACGGCTCATCTAGGGTCCAAAGCGCGCTTTTGCAAATTGTACTCCCACCCAGGACCTTCTTGCGCTTGAAAGGTTTGAATCGCTCCCCGCTTTCCTGCAAACCTTGGATGCCCTGGGTTCGTTTCGTGCATCCATTCTGTGGAAGAAATATGTGTTCCCGATTAAGACTCTTAAGATCTAGAGGAAGCGGCTGTTTACATATACACAAATGTAAAGCACATACAAGCCCTCTACATCAACAGTAACAGGGGAGAAAGAGTATCTCTTGTACTGCAAAGGACAAAAGTTTCTCATTAGACTTTAGAGGACATAATGGTCCTTTAGTATGTGGAGGACATGCCATTTCTTTTTATTCAGACATCATTAGCAGAACAGAGCTTTTCCATGAATTATGTCGATCACATAGAGGGAGGCTTTTGGTGATGGTTGGCAAGTGGATTTTGTTGAGCGTTTTCTTCCCGAAAGCATTGTTGCATCAGCCTCACTACCAGTGCTGCGATGCGACTCCGGGCGCGGGGCTTGTGCAGCCAGGAGCGAAAGTTTGCATGGACCGCAACGTAGACAAGCAAGTCCCCCGACCCTGAGTGGACGAGTGGCAGGCCGGTAGCACGAACGAGTCTACTCGTGGAAAACAAGCCAGGTAGTTTACGAGACTTTCGCACCTTCACGAGTGTAAAACGTTTCGACCCCAGGCAAATTGCCTACAGGGGCCCCTTTCGTGCTCCCGCCTCGAAGGTGCCCCCCGCCCCATTTGATTGACATTGTTCCAAGACACGCCCATGTTATTTGCGACGTTTCCGACACCACTCTATGAAAAGCCGCTTGCCAGCCCCCGGCACTCCGGACGTCCTCCGCTTAATTGCTATGTTCGTACTGCAAAAAAAGCCTATTTCGAGGCGCGGATCTTCGGACTTAGTCCGCGCAAAAGCACGCAACCATACCCCGGGACAATTGAAAAGCCGGTCGAGTGCGCTTAGGAGATATGTTTTCTGCGGGTCTTGGATCCCCCGAGGCGACGCGAAGTCGGTGCCTGTACTGCCAGCGAGCCAGCACCTCGTAGGGGTGAGTGTCATTCCTCGCTTTCGAAAGATCCGTCGTCGTTATTATCAAACATGTTTTGGATGGGGTTGGCCTAGCCTTGTCGGGGCCCGGATGTAACTATCTCCGTGGTACGTTTTTCTGCAATTTTGTGCCGTAAACAATGTGTTGCATGCTCATTGGTGGCGGCACCTGTATGCGCCACTGCGCTTTTGGTGGTTTTCGTCTGTTATCGATGTCTCCACTACCCCCAGCTCGCGACCCAAACCTAAAGGCCTCAAGCCCGTGTGACTTCGTCATGTCTTTGCGCATGCAAAGCTCAAACAAGCTTTTGTTCAGAGGCCTCCCTGACAATGATCTGATAGATCTTAACGGACAGCCAGTCCCGAAACGCTGCAAGAGGGGCTGAAGGGCTCGTGGACGAAAAGCATCGGGCATGGATGTATTGAACATGTTGCCAGACACAGAACTATCGACATACGTTCTCAATCACCATGTCCTTATTGCGCCTTGGCATGTGCCACGTGCCCCACAACCAGATACAGAACATTGACTTCATCGTTGGAAAGTCCCCTGTGCGTGTTCATTGCTGCACAGGTGATGGGCAACAACCCACCACTCACTCCCTGTGGCCGGCAGCAAGCAAGACACACGGCGGAGCCTGTGCCAAACACAACGTGCAAGTGCAAATTGAATCATCGATTTGGCAGTTGCACTTGATGTTCAACCTTCAAAAGCACCCGTGAGCAACAACATCCTTGCTGGTGGCACAAGGACTGGTTACTTCAGCATGCGCAGATCGATCATGTTGTGGTCTCACCGTTCACCCGGACCTTGCAAACGGCGCTGCCCTTGGCGGAGGCGGCTGTTCCCGAGCAGTCTGAGGTCGCATTCAGGTTGCGTTGAAAAATGCGGACGACCCTTTCTCGTCTCGAAGGCGCTGAACCAGCAGCTGAAGGTCGAGCCACTCCTCTCCGAGGCGCGCCTCGGCAGTGGCGCTTTCCGCGCAATCAATGCCGAGGCGCCCGGGGCAACGGCAGCTTGGGCTGGAACAGCATATTGTGGTGCACTGTGGCAAAGGCATTCAAATATCCTGTGCTTGCCACTACCAGTGGCTTTCCAGTATAAGTATCAGGTATCAGTTTCCCTTTTGTTATTGGGGCATATTCAGGCCTTCTGGGGCTTGCTCAATTTGGGAATGTGTTGGGAGTTCGGAGGGGTGTCTGAGGTTCGGGACCTTGCCAAGTGCAGTTTCCGCTGGGATCAGCACTACGGCGCGCCGCCCATCAAGACGCCGGAGCGGGCATGTGTGATGCAGTCTGCGGATGGTAAACATAGGCAGTCCACCCAGCAGCCTCTGCTGCTGGACATGCGGTGCCATACATACTAGTAGCGTAGGGACTGCAAATGATTTATATATGCAGGGGAAGCAGGGATTATGTTGTCGGCTTTACATGGGGAAACACCTCTGGGTCCAAGCAGAAGTCCCAAAAAGCTGGATGCGGCTTTGTGACGTTCAATTCAGCCAGCTCTTCAGTTGCTGGCCTTAGCATGTTCTATGCTGCGCTTGCTCAATCAGGAGAACGACGCGCTTTACGTTCAGAGAGTAGTTGAGGCGGCGCGAACGCTGAAGGCAGTTCGAAGAGTTCGGCATGGGAAGTCTGTTCGCATCGATCACAGCTCTCCGAACTTGCGTGCAGGCTCGGTTCCCGCCCTCCGCAGGTGGGGTGCATATTGAAGGTTGCATACAAAGTGCTGTGCTGGTAGTGTCAGAGCCGTGGGTTGGAGCCGCAGTCCAAGCCCTGTCCCGGATCAGCACTCCAGTGCGTTGTATTTTGCTGCAGACCGTGCCATTGTCAGTGTGGGACAGGCAACGTGGCCGTTTACACGCATGCCACGCCATCGCTGAGTCTCGCCTTCGGCTGGTGCTACCAGGATTGAGCTGGGCTTTGTCCTTCGAGCCGTGGAAGTAGGGCCTTCTGCAGCTCTGCGCAGGAGGGGTCCTCTCTGCAGCAGCTACCTGGCGTGATGGGACAACCATTCCTTCCTCGACATGCCGATATGCCCAACGCAATACGCGATCATAACACCTAGCAGTCTAGCACGCTCACGCCCAATGACATCTTTCAAGCCTCATTCCCCAAAAGGTTTCTTCTCCCCGAAATGTCACCCTGCAGGATTTCTCAAGCTCCGCTTTCACAGGAAAGTCTCAAGTCTTGCAGCAGGAGAACCGTTAAATTTGACTGAGGTTTGTGGACGCACAACATGCGCACCTTGGCAGGATGTCCTGTTTCCGTAATGCATCTGTGCAGCTTCTCAGCAGAGGATTGGTCCAGCTGGCATCATTCACATCGTTGTCAAGCAGGCAGGCATTGAGACATAACACGATGCAGAAAGGGTGGGTGTTCAGCACAACCAGAAATGGGGATCAATGATCATAAGAGCCACGTGCAAGTGCCAAACCAGTGTGCAGACCCTGCCAGGGTGGAAGTGGTGGTAGCTGCACCGTTCTGCAGACGCAGAATGTCGCAGATGCCCTGCACTGTGGCAGAACTCCTGCTTACAAGCACCGTGGATGCAAGAAGTAGCTTTCCGAAGTGCCAGATTCCACTCCAGGGAGGGTTTTCTTTTGTTGGTCGTGGCCGAAAGCTCCCTGTATCATCTTGTCATGCCTTCCAATGCCTACCGATGTCTCACGTAAGGAGAGATCAATGTAGATTTGTATCCGTTTTGCTTATGCTGAAAGGGTTGTCTCCTTCGACTCCCTTGTTGTTACGCTCTGTGGCCCGGGAAGCGGGTCGCGTGCTGCACCCCGTTGCTCAGTTGAGTTTGTTGTTGCCTTATGTCCCTGCACTCTCCTTCTCTCTTGTGTTGTTGTTTTGCCCAGTGGCTTTGTGCTGTCTCCTTTTCCCCAGCCTGTTGTGCAACTTACTTTTTTTTTCCAGTCAGGGTTCGAGGAGGGTCTCCATTATTCTTTTGGCAGCGAGATCGATGGGTAAGGGCTGAATCTAGCCGAGATCTGCCTCCGCAGACTTCTGCTTGCCTTGAGGTGCAACTTCACGGACTTCCCTGCCTGGTACTGGCCCGACCCACAGGGCCGCGGGCCAGGTGACGCAGCCTTTTCCGAGCAACCATTTTGGCCGTTGTGGTGTGCTGGTCATGGCAGGGCGCTGCAGCTGATGGACGGGTTCTGAACCGGTGCATGGCAGCCAATAGCTGGAAGAGCCGGGGATACAGCTGCGTTGCGGACACTTGTGGACTGATTAGCATCGTTACGGGGCGGTGCAAGTTCAAGTGGCCATCGGGGGTTTCACTCTGGCCCAAAGGCAGCAGAGGGGACATCCTGAGGTCAGAAGCGAAGAAAAGCGACTGGAGTTGTGCAGTCCTGTGCCACTAGATGTGGCTAGTGAGGCGAGTGAGGCTAGCGAGGCTAGCGAGGCTAGTGAGAAGAGGTGTGTGAAATAGAGCCTTGGTGATGGGAAGGCATCGTAGGCCAAAGCTGGCATGTCGAATCCCAAGCGGTACTGAAGGCTGTAGGTCTGCAGGATTTTATCGGTGAGTGCCATTGCCTTGCAGCACTGGCAGGCTCTCATGGACAAGTTGAACGGTGCCGTGAAGTCCTTTGGCAAAGCCGTGCCTCGGTGCGAGAAATCATGAACACACACAGTATTCTTTAGCATGTCTGCGGGACATAAGTTCTTGGGGATGTACAGTGAGGCGGGTTCTGTTAGGTTGAGGTGTGCCTTGTTGGCCGAATGGTCTTCATTCAGGAAGTCGCCCGCATTCTGGCGGAGGCATGGTTTTTTTGGAAACATTCTGTCAGGTTTCATAGGCATTGCATCACAGCTGTGAAGGACTTTGTGTCGGAGCTCAAGAAGCAGGTCTGAAAGCGTGTCCTGTGCGAGCGAACTAGAGACTGAAAAGCTTCGCAAAGAATCGGAGAAAAGACTTGAAGGAGAGAGTCTAATGGGCTTTCTTAGCCGGCAGATGCTAGATGCTGTGGCATCCTTTTTGGCAAACAGAATGGAGTGCTTCGTTTGTGCCAAGGTCAAGCAAGCTTCGCAGGACTCTTGCTGTGCATGCTTTGAGACGCATCCTGCCATCAGAACCCGGCAGTAAGTTTCGACATCCTTGAAGGACCACACAATCCTCGAGCAGGTGAAGGCTTCACGCGGTGGTGTTCAGGACCCACGCAGGGTGAGGACTCAGAGAGTAGAAGATGAGCCCGATGATCCTTCAGGAAGTTAGCAATTGGCTGAAGAAGCGGCGAGCAAGCACCACGGGCCGGCATCGGGCCCGGCATCTGAAGGCCCCGTGTAGCTCGGTTGGGGCGCCCCAAGAGTTGAGCTGCGTTGTTTGCAGCTCCAAGGCGCCCGTCCACCATCAGTGAGCGAGGAGTCCGGATATGGCAGATGAAGGAGATTGGAGTGTGGTGTTGCCTGGGCACTTGCAGAAGCGAAGCATCGTGAAGCATCGTGAAGTAGCGGATCTCTGCAGCTCTCCGACTGCAGGATTTCGAGACTGCAGGGGCCTCGATGAAGCATCGAGAGTAGAATGAGCAGAGGAGAACTCCGCGCTCGTACGGTGGGTGCTAAGATTCTTCCTGCAGGCTGGAGCCCTTGGTGAGGGCAACTTCGGCCTAGTTCTTCTACTGAGAGACAAGGACAGCCCGATGCGACGGTAACACGGTAAGATGCCCCTGAGGCCTCCACATTTTCGAAGGTTCTTTGTGTACTTGCACGTGATGTCGGGATGTCGAGGGTGTGTGCACGACTGGGTTTGTGCAGTCACCACGCTCACATGACTGCGTTGGCTCCCATTACGGCGCTCGTAGTGGTGCAGGAGGCGCAGGGGGCTTGTCTGAATGGGAAAGATGTCGGGCGGCAAAGAGTTCAGGGTTGCTTGTCAACCCGGGCGGGCCAAAAAGGCTCGTTGCAAAAGGATTGGTGGAATGTTGTTCCCTTGATCTGATGGTGGGGTCTTCGCATTTCTTTCCTCTTTCTGGCACCAGGGGAGTACGGCATCACCTGGTGCAAGTCCCACTTTGCCAAGCTCAGTAGGTGTTGCATATGGAACACTTGGAGATATGGAGATATAGTTCTGCTTGATATTGCGTGATGTCCATCTACTTGCGTGCAGCGCATGCAGATGCTGTCGGGTTTTATGCTGGAGAATATCGATGGGTCATGCAACCCGAATGACCTTTGCCTGGGCACGCTTCGAGGTCACCCACAGTGTGCGGTCTTGCACCCTCGTCTGGGCGAAGCACGTCTCTCCTCAGCTTTTTCCTAGTCGGCACTCCCTTGCACGCTTTGCCTCAAGGCCGTCGCCAAGGTCCTGGTGCCGTTTGTAGCCTCTGCAGTCAGCGAGGCAACACTCCGCAACGTTTTCAATTCTGTTAGCCGGGCAGCCTTCCTGACGCATGCACGTGAGAACACGCCGGCCGTGGCATGTTGGGCTGACCACAGCTACTGCCCTGTCCGTCGGCGCCAGCGTTGCTTCGAGCTTCTGGGGTGGCTAAAGGGCCGAATGCCTTCTGCCATTTAGTGCCCAGGTGGTCGACATGGCAGGCCTGCAGCATGCGGGTGACACTCCCCGCCGCTCATGCGCTGCGTTCCTTGACCCCGGCCCTTGGCGTTCCGCCAGCTGCACGCAGCTTCGCGGGCCGGGCGTCCACATCCGCTACCGCTGCCCAGCGCCATGGGTTTGGGCCCACACTGCCCCGTACAACTACGCTGTGCCTGCACACGGCCAATTCCAGCCTCAGTCATAGCGTTCATTTCGACAAGGCCCTGCTGTTGTCTGCTGGCCACATTAATGGCATCTTGGGGAGAGGGCCGACACTTCGATGTAGCTCCGGCGGCATTCCGGAATCCTGTTGCCTTTCCACTTGCGCAAATGTAGCCTCCCTTGCTTTTGCTGGTCGTTCTAGTAGTTGCTAGGTGCAGACCATGAAGCTAGCTTTGATGACGGCTTTGTGCGATTGTCAGCTGGCTTACTTGTTTCTGACGTTGAGGAGACGCGGGCCGAATATGCCGGGTTCTTTGATGCATACCTTGTTTTGAATGTGCATGCTTGAACCTCTTCCTTGCTGTTGTCACAAGTGAGGCCTTTAAAGGTCTCAACAAGCTGCACCTCGAGCAGGCTCCGCTGCAAGTTCTTGAAGCATGGAAGCATTGCTTGCTTGTGCTAAAGACGTGTGAGATTTCATTGCCAACTTTGCGCTGACATCAAGCTTCCGACATGGACAAGTCTTCCGGTCTTCCGGCATTGTGTTTGGCCCAAGTAGCCCAAGTACTATGCGGCCGGTGCTGGCCTGCAGGCATCTTGCCTGAAACCGTGACTGTGTGTACAGAATAGTACCAAGTTCAGGCTCGCCTTTTTGACCTTATGTGCTGTCAAGGTCTGCCTGGGGACACTTTGGACTGCTGCAGCATGATCGTGTGCTGCTGCGAGGTGGGGTGGGGCTGGCTAGAAGAGTCTTGGCAGAGCGCAGGTAAAGAAATTGTTCACAAGTTTCCCTTGGCCTTTGCTCAGAGCGACATGGGGTCCCCAGTGGAAGCCGTGACGGCCGTTGGGCGAGAGGAGCCTCGGCCAGAAGAGTGATGCGAGAAACCAGAGAGAGAATTCCAGGGAACCTCGAGAACAGAGCAAGAGAACAGAGCGAGGAGCGAGAGAACAGATCGAGTACTGAGAGCCACCAAGGACAAGCCGTCTTTTGGGCTGCGGCCTGAGGGTCCGACATGTGCCAAGGGGAAGAGAGGGAGACGGGACGGTTCGGGCGGGACAGGGGATGGGACAGGGCGGGACTTCATTGTTTTGTATGAGAAAGAAGGGCAGAACGAGGCGGATTGGAAGGCTGGCAGTCCAGCCCCATACAGGGAGTGCGCAAGTCAAGTATGAGAACAGATGGGCGGAGTGCAGCTTCCGGTCGAGGTGGGATGTGTGGTAGGATGGGAGGTTGCACAGAAACCAATTGTTAACGACAGTTGTCAGAAGCCGCCCTTGAGCTCACCAGCTCGGTTGCAACTCCTCGCCTTGCACCCTGACAAGCCATGCAGGGGCACGTGCTGCAGGTGAGTTGGAGTTTCCCCTTCCATGTCCCTTTAGCGAAAGACGGCTCATGCTGAGTTTGTCAGGCAGTGCCCTTTGTCGGGGACGTTTGGGGACCGAGCCTTCATTCAGAGCACGGGCCGCCAAACTCAGGAGTTCTTTCCAGCGGAAGATGGTCATTACCTTCCAGCGGCGCGATGGGTCCGAAAAGGCTTTGGGCTTCGTCAGTTTCGTCATTCTGCATGTTTTTGTATGGCATCTGTTTGTTGGATCACTTAAATTCGAAGAGACCCTGGCGAGTGAGCAGGATGTGGAGTTCTTCCACAGACCTATCGGCCTGGACTGTAGCGGCACCGAACCTTGTTCCAACAGGATTCACCAAATTTAGTATCGTGCGAGCCTTCCCTAACATACTGGTTGTGACTTAACGAATCCCCTTGGATTCTCCAAGGGTGTGAGACTCAAAAGCAAAGTAGTTGTATCAAATGGTCCAAGGCCGCTTTCAGTAAACTCCTGTAAACTCCAAGCATCCCAAGATGCTGCCATTGGTCGGAGCCTTCCGCTCAGGAGCCCATTGTCGTACAGCGCGTTCGCAAAAATTCCGTTGCGGAGAAAGCCGCCGTGAGAGTGAACTGGGCGGCCCTGATTGCAGACAGCCACAGGCAGCTTCTATATTTTTCACGCTATGCGACCCGCCTCGGCCTGGGCCTACCCAGCGGTGAGGCAACCCAAGGTGCTGTCAGGCTTGCTGGTAAAACAAGACAACAAAGCCGCATAGACGGTACCCATTCGAAGCGTGATGTCTGTGCTGGGGGGGTCTGGATGGAATTAGAGGTGAGGTACCTGCTTTATGCTACCAGTACCAAGACCAGGGAACTGTTGCTGAAGCGATCTTACGTGTGCAGCCGGAATCGACGCCACTGTCTTTTTGTGGATTGGTCAGTTTAGTTAAGAACTCAACATAGCTTGAGCAAGGCCCGATACAGCCCAAATTAAGCTGCCCACACTGTCCGTTGAATCAAGGTGGTACGTGCTGTAGATGGAATGCGGGCGCCGGCAGATCTGTGACCTGGCTGCTCTTCGCCATGTTTCGCAAAAGCGAATGCTGGTGTTCAACAGCTTCTCCTAGTGTGTGCAAGTCATGTACACGGGACGGAGCCCTGCCAACAAGGATGTCTCTTATGCAAGCCGGAGCCAGAGTGCTCCCTGAGGAGACACGGGTGGCCGTGGAATAAAGTGATAGGGGTGGACTGCACGAGCTGTGCAGTGCAAGGAGCCCAGAGCCAGCCAGGCACCGGCCTCATTTCGTCTTGCCTCACGCTTGAAAGCCCGTAGCTTGCGCTTGCAGGTGAAGAAGACCGTTAAACTTTTCAACCCTGATCTGCGGTGCATCAGGTAGTCTTGTCCTTCAGCCAGCCCGGTCCCGAAGTCAAGGCTTTGCTGAGCTTCCGCTGAGGGGATCTCATGCGGATGTTCTTGCGATGCCACGTCGTGCCAACTTCTTGCTGCTTTAGAAGATGGCGCTCACACACGTCAGCGTGCCTTGAATGCAATTGTTTGTGGGAAGATCGTGGATGTGACCTTCGAGCACCAGCCTTGGGGGGTGATGTTCACCAAGACGGTGGGGGCCCCGGAATTATCTCTCGGATCATCAAAGCCCTCATGTGATGTGCTCTGATGTGCCCGTGTCCTTCCGTTTCACGTGCTGCCCAGGTCCCAGTCCGCGTGAAAACCTGTCGACCAGGTTCATACAGCGAACGCTTCTGAGCTGCAGGGGAGACCGGGAGACCGGGAGACCGGGAGGGAGCGGCTTGTGAACGGAGGTGCTGAGAATTAGTTTTTTTACACGTACGTGTAAAAAAACTAATTCTCAGCATGTTGCAATACTGATTGCATTCCAAGAGTAACTTCCAATGGAATGCCCGGGGAGCCATCTCCGGAGCCGCTGGAGCCTGAAAGAGCCAAAAATTGAAACGTCGAGGATCGTGAAGGCGAAGACTCCAGCCCACACAAGCATCAACACCGATCTCAAAAAAAGCACCTACCATATAGGGCCTATGAGTTTACAAGTTCCCAGGGTCAGAAGCACAGGAACTCTTTTCCTCAGAGTTTCTATAAGTCAAAGCAATTGCTTCACACCAGCTTGAACCAGTCTTGCTTGTATGCGGCTCCACCAGCCCGAGCACACCTTTAGGGGTGCCTCTGGGTATGCTTAAGGCTGAAGCTAAAAGAAGTGCCAGTCAGTCAGTAGATGGCCACACTTTACCTTGACTCTGAGGACTTGGAGTTCAGAAGGGTTGGCAATTGGTCTCGGTGGACGGCGAAGGGTTGCCGGAGAGGCCGGGCTGGCGGAGGGTGGGGATTTGGATCCCTCATGCTGTGATGGCCAGGCTAAACGATCTCATGGAGCTGATCCAGGCTGTCGAGATGGGTTGGGAGGCATAACTGTTCCAAGCTTCTCATCTTGTCGCTCAGGAGAAGGTTGGCAGACTTCCGGTCCGAGAAGAAGAGTGACAGCAGCATGGCAGCCGACCCCAGTTTGTTGAGACTGCTAGTGGCATCACAAGCAAGTTTCAGACGTCCCACCTCACCCGCCCGCATCTTCTAATACTGTCTACGGGCAAGAGGCTATAGGGGCTGTGCTGTGATCGTGATGAGTCAATATGCTGCCTTTTAACAAGATCCGAAGCGATCGCAAAAAACTTGTGCAGCTCATGTTTCACTCACGATGTCACGGCGCCTCGAGGCGCAGTGATGATGGTAAGATCTTGGCTGAGTATAGCCAATAGTATGGTCACTCGTTAATGCCCACTCCTATGACATGCTTTTGGCTGTAATTAGGCGTAGGACCTCGTGTTGCTTATGCACTAGGGCCCGGCCGACGAAGAAGACGCGTAGAGAAGATGATAAAAAAAAGCGCAAGCTGCGCAGCCTTTTGTCGACCTTGAGTGTCAACCAGCTTTGGGTGGTAGTGTTACCCGGGCACACGGGGGACCGCTGCACGGAGCCCGCAGGAGAAGCAAGACAGCATGTTGAAGAACGAGCGCAACGTCCTGTCTCTGCTGGAAAGAGTTCTCTTGTGTTGTTTTTCAGTCCCGGAGTAGTCTCTCCTTACAGCACTTGTTGGGCGCGCTGTGGGCAGGACAGCCCATTCATTATTCATCTGCATGGCTGCTTCCACGACAGCAACTTTGCAGCCGGGCTGCAATGTTCCTAGATGTTTTTACAAGGTACCGTCGCCAAGTTTTGTGTGTCTTTGCAACATGCACCGAATTTGCACCAGTCGGATCTGCAACCGAGGTTTACTTCCTCTTGGAAGTCGCTCTAGGCTAGGACGCGCATGCAACATCAATAGGCGGCGGTCTTGGAAGTTGGCCCAGCGAGTTCTGAAGGCGGCGAACTCTTCGACATCTATAACGACTATGACCTCTGGGGAAAGACGGTCGGCACCCTCAACTCTACCAGCTGATGTGGGCGCCATTTGGGGCCGGGGTGCAAGGATGTGGCGCAGTTCTACGTGGCTTGCGTGTCCTTGGGCCTGGCGCACATTCACTCCAAGCGAGCCTGGCATGAGTTTTAACCTTTCGTTGGTCGAATTAGGGTTCCTTAAAATGCAGAGGAAATAGAGGTCCTCCTTTGGAAGAAAGGAAATGGAGGTTTTCCGATTATGATGGAGGAAATAGAGGCATTCCTATTGAAATAGAAGAGGAAACACATGGAAGAAATACAGGTTTAGAGAAAGATAGATAGAAACAAAGAACGACAGAAACACAGACATATGATGAAAGAAAGAAATGCATAAAGAAATGCATGTTTGAAGCTGCTTTCTAAAGAAAATCATGCCATGAAGATGACTGGCGTCAATGTTTGCATGCGAATCCTTTCCGAACCCGCCATGCGAGCATTGTGTTTGCGAATGGGGGAGTTCTGCGCTTCCCCGCCCCCCCCCCCCTCCCAACCTCGCGGCTTTTTCGTTTCGAAGCCTTGCCAGCTTGTTCATAAAGACGATCCTGCCATGAAGAGGACTGGCGCCCAGAAAACATGCGAGTTTTTTCCAAATCCGTTATGCATTCGTTCGGGGCTGCCCCACCCCCCGCCCCTCCCCTGCGCCGCTTCTTGCCTATTTTGAAACGATACAAGCTTGCTTCATTAAAAGGTCATGCCATAAGCAGAACTTGCGATCCCTGTGCGTGCTTTGTGTTTGCAAATAGGGGGTGGGGGGGGTGCGTATGCTGTCCCATGTTTGTTTTTGTTTCTTTTCTTGAAGCCTTGCAATCTTGCCAAGGTCATGCCGCGCCATGAGGACTTGCGTGAAGAAAACATGTGGAATCCTTGCTTTGCCATGCCATTGTGTTTGCAAATTCTTGGTGGAAGGGGGGGGGGGAGGGGGCGGGGGTGCTACGCCCCCGGCTCGCCCCCCCCCCACCTCCCCGCTTCTCCTTTTTGAACATCGTCCTCCATGTTTCACCCAAGCAAGCCGTTGTCTCTTGTATCTCCTCTGAATCGGAAACCCTTCTTTCCTCCACATCATAAATTCCTTGGTGTTCTGTTTGGAAAGCATCTATTTAATCCATTTCCTGTGTTTTTGATAGGAAAACCTCGATTTGTTCTGTTTTCTACTAGGAAACCGCCCACAAACTCGCCCAGATACTTAGCTGAGTGGTACAGAGCACTGTGCTGCTGGATGTCCGCAGTTGCATCTTGGAGTGCTTTTCTCCAACGCCAGGCACATAGTTTGGCGTGACCTCAAACTGGAGAACTGCTTGGTCAACTCCAAGGTGAGAAAAGGGCTTGGAGGGCTTTGTGAGCGAACCATGTCTGGGATCGTGTGATCAGGGCTATGCAAAGCTGACGGACATGGGAATCGCTAAGATTCTTGTCGGCAATGTGATTCAAAGCCCACGCCTTCGCGTAGCTGTTCCTGGCATCGACTGAGGATGGTGACTGGCAAGACCTACACAGTCTTGGCCTTTGCTGACCATTGCGAAGTTCGGAATGCAACGTGCGCTTGTTGAAGCCCTAGTGAAAACAGGTGTGTGGCACCGCAGACTACTTTGCCCCAGAAACATTGAAACAGGCAAGGGCTTCGAGCAGTTCCAGTGAGAGATGTCGTCATGATTGTCGTCACGACATGTGACGACTCAAGCCTCCTCAGTATCAGGGCTTCCCATATGCCTGACAAACTTGTTCTCAACCTTTCAAACATCTTCTCAACCTGTCTTGATGCCGCAGGTGGGGCATAACCGAGCTGCCGACTGGTGGGCTACGCGCTGAGCATTGGAAGCACCACCGCTGACTTCACGCCGAGCGCAGACAAGTCTTGCAAGGCTTTGGGGGTGATGCTGTTCATCATGATGGCAGGGCACAGCCCCTTCGACGCGCCAGAGGCCTGCACAGGGCTGCGATTTTCAAGTTGCTGGTTGACATCCGGCATTCCGTGTTTGCTCTAGGGGTACTTGCTGCAGGTGACACAGATCTACAAAAACATCATCAAAGGCTGCGCTCCCAATGTGCACACTTTGAAGATCTTTGAAAACTGGAGATTTAGCCATTGCTGGCATCCGGTTCTTACAAGGCCTCAGCAAAGTGCAGTTTCCTCCCTCCATTTCGAAGGAGGCCTCAGGGGAAGAGAGGGGCATGAAAGGGGGCCAGGGGGGGGCATCTGCTGGGATGTGTCATGCTGTGTCGCAGCAGCAGTCTCGATGTCGTTTGTAGTGTGTGTTTGTTTATTCTCGCCGTCTCAGAGGCGGAAGAATGCGTGCGATCTCTGTGCCGCAAGAAGCCGGAGGACGGGGGGTTTCGAAACGCGCTTTCTTGTAAGACGACGAAAAAGTGTAAAGAGCAGGGAAAAGTGTGGATTGTCAAAGAAGGACCGCCTGACCATGCAGCGCGGTGGCATCAGCTTCCTGGCAGAGTTTGGACTTATTTTGCAAGCTTCACGGGCTCTACATGATACCGGTCTGCGTTGCCAAATTGCTGGTTAGGTAATTTGATGTCGTTGGCTTTCTTCGACGGCTTTAACTGGGAGGACTTTCGGCATGTTTTCAGTGGGCTGTAGTGGCACATGATGTTCAGCTGCAGCCGGGGAACGAATCGTGGGTGTTGTGATGGGCGGCACGAGCTGGTCGTGCAACGTAGCCGATTGAAAGCTAGGGAAGTGAAGCTCGGCACATCTTGAGCTCGAGCCACCTTTGTTTCCGAGCAGGAAGTGAAGGCATTGACCATGACTCCACCATGGATTCCGTCGGCACTCAGAGCTGTGGTCAATAGTGAAATGCCCTTTCGAAAGGTTCCTGGTGTTTCCTTCTTCGTTTACGTTTAGGGCTGAGGGCTCAGGGCTATCGGATATCGCCCAGGCCAGAACCCGACTACGGGAAGATTGCTGCGAGGCTGCGCAAGAGAGTCAGAGAGGTCAGAGGCAGATAGAATGTTGAGACATATTTTGCCTCAGCGCAGGCAGCTTTCCCGACCCGTCGAAATCCAATGGGACGAGCTGCAGCTGTCCGGGGGCTCAGGGGGCAAACAGACGAGGGCCAAGTGGCAGCGTGCATTGCAGTGCGTTGCCCATTTGCAGGTGGCTGCCATCTGATGAGGTGTCTTGGTGGCCAGAGACTTCCCACAACAATCCCAGAGTTGCCGAGCGTTCCACCATTTCAGGGCCACAAGCTGTTGGGGCCTGTTCCGGCCGATACGGTGGTCGCAGATGTGCTTTGGAGTGTGTGTGATGGGAGCAGGCTCCACAGTTGCCCGGAGGGCCTTCCAGCCACAGCATGGAGAATGTGGAGGTGCTTTGAAGACCGTTTTGCTCACAAGATTTCGTCATGCGATGCCCGTTCGGTGCCAGGCGACAGAAGATCCAGCTGATGCCTCGGTTGTGCTCCCTATTGACCTTTCATCCTCTCACTCTCGCTGCCTGTCTCGCTGTCTCATTCTGTTGCGACTGTTGCTCCCTCTCCCTCTGCCTCTCCCGCTCCCGCTCCCTCTCCGTCTCCCTCTCCGTGTATGGCCGTTGTCTGCGCACCTTCTGTCAGGCAGGCTGGGAGCCTGTCGTCCAGGCGTCCGAGGAGGATGACCAGTGGCTCTCTGGACTCTAGATGCCTAGAGTTCCCCACCCCTTTTGCCCTTCCTCCAGCTTCCTTCCGTCAGATTGGACGGTCAGAGGTGACTGGTGTGACCTTGTAAATCACTGTACCCTACCGAGATGCAGCAGAGTTTCACTGCAAAGGATTGTGCGCCAAAGTCGCAAGAATTTGCCAAGGCAAAGCTTTTCAAGGGGCTCTCAATTTGGTTTGGGTAGGGGTGCCTACGCGCGAGTTGACGAAACGCAAATGCCACATCTGTTGAACACTGGAAGCTCAACCAAGGCGCGGAGACACAAAGGGCCCCTGACATGTCCTACACTCTTTTTTGGGCATTTTGCATCCCTTTAGGGGATGCCGAGCAGCACATTGCAGCACCCGAGGGTGCGCCCCGGACACTTCAAGCAGAAGTGCCGTCACGGGCAGGGACCTGTCTTCGAATGAGCGCGTCATCGAAGTCCATCGCAAAAAATCCAGCATGCTCGGGCTTGCCGGCTTTGTTACAGTGTATTTTGAGCTGCCAAATCTGCCAATCCTTGCAGCTGCCGGTTTTTTTGTGGACTCCCCGCTTAAGTGTTCCCATCAGCACGGGTGGGGGGCGGGGAATCCGGCACAATGCGGCGGACATAGAGGCACGTCGTCCAAAGGGGTCAAAGGGTTTTCTAAGGCTGCAAGGATTGCAAAGGTCGTAGATTCGTAGATGTTGTTGCTGCTGGCAGGTCGGTCTGCTCATTTTTCCAAGGCAGTAGAAGAAGTAAAGCAAAGGTAAGCGCTCACATTGCCTTTTAGAGTGTGTTTTCGTTCATGTCTTCTTTCTTGGCAGCGCTCCAGGTGGATGTTTCGCGAGGCGGTGCCCTGGTCGCTGGCCGGGGCCTCTCAGCCAGGGAAAAGTGCCTTGGAGCCTCGAAAAGCCTTCGAATGACTCTGACTGGCTGGGATGGGTTTACAAGCACATGCAAAAGCACATAAAAGCGCACAAAGCACGTTCCCTCATCGGCCAAGGAGCGGCCGCGACAGGGCAGCCGACGTCGGGGTGTCGTGCCCCTCCCCAGCTTGGAGGCGGGCTTGAGGACTAAGTGCGAAGTGCGAAGTCAGTTTTCTGTTGCATCTTGGAGCCAGCGCAATGTCAGCATGTGCTCCGGTGGGGGGTCTGGCCCTCTGTCCCCCCAACGTGAGTGTTACGAAAGAGTGAATAGTGACTTCTTCTTGAGGCTGATGCGGTGTACCGTGAGGCTGGGGGGGATGGCAGGGGACGGAGCACGGAAGACATGTTGGCAGCGGCTGTCTTCGAATAAGTCACTGTCCCCAGAAACAGCACAATGATGCTCCCGAAAGCATTTTCTGTTTCGGCTACTCTTGGGCTTGCTGTGATTCCAGAGAATTCATGCTTGTGATCGGATGCGATCGTTCAAATCGGACAACACACACTTCCCTCCACCTTGTGGGGAGTGGCCATCATTGCTCCCTCGACAATGCGTTGCTTGCGCTATCCGGCGTTTGTCTAGCTTTCGCAGCCCAGATCTCAAGCCTTGTTCCCTAAACGACTGGGCAGCAGCGCAGAACTTGGTCCTGAACCTCCTTTAGCTGCTTGCTGCCACCTCGCCCTTCTCCTTTATCTTCGTTTTCATTCAGTGACTTCTCTGGCTTCCACGGTTGCTCAGCCACAAAGCTCACACGGCGGAGCATCTTTGAGCTCCATGGTGGACGCCACGGCGAGCGCTACGCGGACGTCCTGAGAGTGCGCGACGTCGAGAGCATCGATGGCGAGGTAGAGACGAGGATGACGAGGGCGGGCCAGTGCCCGACGAACAGACTGCTGCTGAGACAACTGCTTCCGCAGTGCCAGTGAGGAAGGCTGATGAGAGCGAAAGTGTGCCTGTGAATCGCATTCTTCGGAGCTTTCCTGTGACTTCCTCGGCCTTCCCGGCCGGCTGAGGCCGGACCTCGAGTGCCTTCGAGGAAGTCATGACCCAACGCCTCCCAGACGACGCGTGCATCCACATCAGAAGGGGTAACGAACACAAGCAGTCGCACTCAGCAAGGTTCAACTGAATTGGATAGTGTGAATGATCCTTCCGCAAGTGAACCTGCGGAAGGATCGTTTGCACTATCCAATTCAGTTCGTGAACCTTGCTGAGTGCGATTGCTTGTGTTTCTTCGTCGACCTCAGGTTTCTGAGGTGGACACCATAAGATGCTCACACTACGAGGCCAAGCATGTAGCAACCCATGAGAACCACCCATGTGCAAACCCGGAAACAGTGCCTTTTGTGATAGGCATAGGCTCCCCATCGGGGAGACGATGTAGCGGGCGTCTGGGCTTCAAAGACTTAGTCTTGCCGTGTGCGCTTACCTCCTAGCTTTGTCCCGGCTTGCCGGATGACATAACATCAGGCCAGCCGACACAGAGGCGACAGAAACAGGTAGCCAAGTGCAAATTCGTGGTTGTTCATACTGGATGCTGCTGCTGAACCCGTCAATGCCGCGCATGGAGCGAAGCTAAATGCAGGAGGTCGATCACAGAACCAAAACAGACAGCCTCTGACAAGTGACAATCTTCTTACCCACCCATTCAGGGACGTCTTACATTGACCCCCGCTTTTGTCCGCCGCCATGGGCAGCCTTGCCTTCGCCTTGCTAGCGGCCACGGCCACGGCGGCCACTGTGGAGCTCACTGAGGAAGATTGGGATGCTTCTCGGTCCGATCTGATCTGCGCACTTACAGTTCTTCCAGTAAGTTTTGCCATAAAGCTGAGCTTCGGGACCATGACCTTGCTTTGGTTGCCTTGCGCCGTGCCGTGCCGGAGCGGTTCTTCTCGGGGTATCTGCAACCATCTCCGTGCCTTCCAGGCAAAGACCGCAGGCAAAACTGTGTTCGTCAAGTTTTATGCGCCCCTCGGCACGACAAGTCAGTCAGTCCTTGAGAAGACTTTGTAGTCAAACAGCTGTCACGCCTCCTGCGAGGCCATGGTGTGGCCACTGCCAGAGTCCAGGAGGCACATCAGGCAGAACACGGCACGAGAAGCCTGAAAACCATGGACACGTCTCTCACTCTCACAGTGATGCAAGCTGACGACAACAAAGGAACATGAAGCCCGCGTGGGACGAGCTTACGCAGGCGAAGCTGTCACTGAGAGACTGACATGTCCTGGGGTCGGGTGAGAGCGCATAAATACGTGAGTGTCTACGTCACCTTCGTGCTCAAGTGATGCACTGTCGATGCGCTGCCTTTTTTGGGCTGTCTGCTTGCTAGTTCAGCAAACCCACACAAGGCGTACGAGGACCACGACAACATCCTCATCGCAAATGTTGACTGCATCGGGGCAGGGAAAAGCAAGTGCGCGGAGGTGGGCATCAAGACCTACCCAACATTGAAGCCACTTGGACCGAGCTTACTGAGCTGGGGAGGTGTCGTCCCGAGGTTCTCGGATAGTTCGGCGAAAGATGTGCGCGAGACAAGGAAGTAAGAGAAGCGCACGTCTTTCGAGGTTTGGCGCTCCACACGACCTTGAGGACATTCTGCTTTCACCGGCTTTGGTACAATGTTGTCTCGTGGTGCGATAATTGCCTTCCATGTTGTTTCCCTTCTTCTAGGAGTATCGGGGAAGCCGAGACTTTGAAGACCTGGCGGCCTTCGTCGAGGAGTCGGGTGCAATTAGGTGCAGACACTCAGCTCCTCAACCATTTCCAACCTAAACATGTCGTACAAGGAGAACCTGCAGCCTTCCTGCAGCCCGTCTCAAATAGAGTGGTGCGACGAAGACCAACACCAGCAGCTCCAGGCCAATGTTAAAGTCCTGCAGCACTTTTTCTTGCGTCAAAATGCATGCAGATCAATGCAAGACCAGGGCTACATGGCCTTGCCCATGACCGAGCTTAAAGCGAAGATCCAGGAGAGAGCGCGATGCGGGCCGAGTGAAGGTGCCATGATGCGTCTGCAGAGGATTGGGAGAACGAGAGCCAGGAGGCCGAGAAGGAGCTCGACGCATTGCTCCGGTCTTTGCAAAAACAGTACGAGGCGCACGAGTCGCCGGTCAAAGAGCACCACTTGCAATGAACTCTCAGCTCAGCTTTGCCAATCCAGGCCGGAGTGAAGTTGAAGGCGCGCAAGCAAAAGGCCGTGGATCTTCTTTCGACGGTTGAAACAATTTGGGGAACACCCTGCTCCCGGAAACGCAGCATCTGACACAACACCCAGATGGGTGGCAGATCTCTGGGGGTCTGACTGGGCGCTGCTCTTCTGCTCTGCGTATTGACGCGGCATGCCACCACATTCCTATAGTTCGGGCAGGAGATCAATGAAAGAGGCCTCTCCATGATGAAAGCAGCGCAGGCCCCCCGATCAGCCGATCTGCTCTTTTCAAGCACTCATGTCGACACGCCCGTCAGAAGCGAGTCGTGCTGTCAGGTGTACAGAGATCACGTTCAGAAGGAGGCCTGAGGAGGCAGGGAGGTCTGCTGAAAACCATTTTTGGGGATGTGCTTTGACGAGGTATGCTTCTAATTTCTTACTTGAATGTTGTGACTTCATCTCTGCCGTCCTGCAGCCACCGAGGCGTCTGTCCCTTTTCTCGTGAGGGTCATCTGTACCGCAGACCTCTGTAGCCATGCTTTCGGATTCTGCTGACACAAAGGCTGAGGACCCAACCAGTAGAGCCTTGAGAAGCCCAAAAACTCACGCAGCCGAAGACAAAGGTCTGGCAGATTCCTTCCAGGGCCTTCAGTGACATGTTCAAGGACTTGGGATCCGTGCTCCGTGTGCTCCACCCGGGAGTGCTTCAGCCTGTAAGTTTTTGTCTGGCTGATGTGAGCGTGCTCCGCGTCCCATGGGTTCATGTCCGGCCTACCTAGTTGCTTAGATCATGCAATGCCATGTCGAGGAAGACGCATAAGACGTATCAAAAAAGCCCCCGCCACAGAGCGGGCCTATCAAAGCAGCCCCCGCCACAGAGCGGGCCTCCCGATTCCTGGGGTAAACGAGATTCGAGGGATTTGTACAGCAATATAGTTTCTGCAGCTGGCCTGGCAAAACAGCTACGGTAACCCACTTTGGTAAGGGAAACCAGGCCCCGGCTGTTGGAGGTGAAGCCAGCCCCCCTTCCCTAGTTAGCGATAGGGACGCCCCAAGTGTTATCTCCGTCCCGCTGATAGCTCATTCGTTTTCACCCCTATGGGGGGATATACATTTTCCATTTTCCAAAATATTTTTCCTCATTTTTGACATCATACCCTCGCACATTTTCCATTAAAAAAATAACTAAAATTTACAAAAAATATTATATAAAATTTAAAAAATCAATTTTTCAATCAACCTAATAAATTCAATTTTATTTTTTGTAAATTTTAGGTCACTTTTCAAGCAGTCAAAAAATTCAAAAATTCATAAATTTTCATAAATTTATGATAAAAAATTAATAAATTTTATCATAAATTTTATTACAAAAATTCATAAATTTTAATAAATTTATGATAAAAAATTCATAAATTTTATCATAAATTTTATAATAAATTTTGGTAAAAATTTTGTGATATTTTTTGTGATAATTTTTTGTGATAATTTTTTTATATCGCAGTTTTTGCTTTTAAATACCCTTCTAGTTCATTTAGTGACCCTTGTATAATTTTCAGATATTCATCATCCCAATATGACGTGTTATTTTTCTCTTTCATTTTTATGAGTATATATTCATGTTTTTTTAATATTACATATTTTTTCATTCCATACTCAATACACATATCGTCTAGTTCTTTTTCAAATATCTCTTCATATTTGCTTTTACCAATGTCTTTACCTGTTACAACTTCCTTCATGAGTTTCATCATATATATAATACTATATATTTTTCTTTTTAAAACTTTTAAAACTTTTATATATTTTATCTTCATTTCTTTAAATATGTATAATTTTACATAAATTATGACATATTATTTTCATACAGTTCTATTAGTTCTTTTTGTAGTTCAATTTGTTTTTCTAAATACTTCATTTCCTTATCTAAATGTTCCTGTTCTTCTTTTTCTATAACACATTTTTGTTTTATTTCTACAATTTTACTTTCCCTACTTTCTTTGATAATTTCTAGTTTTTCTAATTCGTGCTTTGCCTGCTTGTATAGTATTTCAAATAATTCATCTTGAACCGATTTTTTCATATATAATACTATATATTTTAGTTTTTAAAACTTTTAAAACTTTTGAAAAAATAAATATTTCAATAAAGATTATTTATTTATTGAAATATTTTGAAGATTTTTTATTTTTTATATATGTTTTGTCTATATAAATCTTTTAGTTCTTGTAAATGCTGTTTTTTCATGTCCTTGTCACCGGCAGATTTAACCCATTTGTTATATAAACTTTTATAACTTCTATAAGTTTTAGTATTTATTGTATTTCTGTTGTTCGCTTCTTCAAATACTTCTCTTAATTTTTGAATACCTATTTTACTGGGAATGATTAATGTAGGTGATGCCCTTTCTTGCTCTTCTGTTGTTCCTTCCTTCATATTTGTTTTTCTAGTTAATGGAGTTTTTCTAGGAGCATTATAAGGCGTTCTCTCCTTAAATATATCATTAAATAACTTTATCACTCGTTCTTCCTTTTCGTCAGTAGAACCGCCTTTATTGTTTTTATCAATAACTTTATTAATTTCTTCTTCTTCTATTGGTGATAATTGATTTCTTATTTTTGCTATGTTGAATAATGTTTGTAATGTTCGTGAACTAATATTTTTTGGGTTTATTCTTGAATAGTCATGAAGAGGTAATTCTGATAATTCATTTATAATTGCTGAATCATTAATACTACCCCATCCAGAAAATAAAACATTCCTTGATTCTTTGTATAGTTTACTAATGTCGACATCTTTTTGAAATGGTGGCGGTTGCGGTGGTTCCGGAGGTGGTGCGTTTCCGCTTGAACTTGATGACGCCGCACCAGAGGCTCGCGAGCTTTGCGACCCGCCTTGTTGGAAATTAGGTCGTGGTGGTTCGGGCGATGTTTTCGGTGATGGTCTGGGTCTTGTTTTTCCTCTCGGTTCTGTTGGTCGCTGTGGTATTGGTCGTGGTATTGCTGGCAACGCCGGTAATTCCGATACTGTAGGTTGACTGGACGATGCAATCGGTAGAGGTTGTTGAGTTGCTCCTACATTAGGTTGATGGGGTTGTAAAATTATTGAAGGTTGTAAATATTGCATATTTGGAATTGGCATTGGATCGTATGTTGTAAATTGCCCCGCTCTAGGATCTCCTGTAAAATCTAATAGTGGTCTCGGTGGCGGGTTTATTCTATTCATTATTGCCTCATTGAAAGCACTGATTGCTTCTTGTGACATACCGGCCAGAAGAGAACTCCCGAAATCCATGCCAGAAACCATGTTTCCGGCAACATTGCCCCCTACTCTTAATGCTCCACTTCCTAAACTTAACGCCCCACTTCCTAGACTTCTTAAAATTCCCGATCCACCTTCCTCCTCTCTTTCTAACTGTTGTTGATGGGCTTGATAAATTGCTTGTTGGTTGCTTTGTTGTGCAGTTGCTATGTTTCCTAATGTTTCATTTATTTGAAACAATTGTTGTTCTTGTGGTGTGCCGTATTCTTCAATATAAGACATGTCATCTGGGTCAGTTCCTATATTAAATTGTTCCGGTGTTCTCGGTTGTTCTGGTTCTGGTCTGTCGTGCTGTGTAAATGCTTTATATGTCGTATCATTATCTTCTGCATATTGGCGTTTCATGAGATCCCTAGCAATTGCTTCAGCGATTTGTTTTTCTTGAATTTTCAATTTATCTAAATGATCTTTTCCATCAAATCGTGTTCCTTTATTGCTTTGTTTATAAAATACAGCATCTCTATTAGGAAAAGGTTTTAACGCGTCTTCGTTATCATTAACTAGCTCTAAAATATCTTCGTATCTAGATCTTCTGTGAAATTGTATTCCAGCATTTTTAACTACCATTCTTTTTTATATATTGTTTTAGAAAATAGATTCGCTTAATTCGCTTAATGTTTGAACCCTTTTTTTAAGATGTTCTAGAGAAGTCTCGGGTATTCGTGGATTATGCATTTCTCCCTTCAATCTCGCTATTTCACTTTCATAATTTGCTTTCATTTGACCCTCTAATAGTCTCCGTTTAAACGCTAGATTTTTCTCTTTCGCCTCTCTCGCTTCTAATTGTTTTTTCAAATTCAATAGATAGTCCAGATTTTGTTGGCGATATACCAGATCTTCGGATGAATTAACCACAGGATTATCTAATGATTTTTTCTTATGTAGTTTTTTATTTTTTTGAAATTTAAACCTATTATATAATACCATTTATATATATTATTATTTAGATTTTTTACTTCTAGCCTGAAACATAGCTTTACACATATTATCTGATTTTTCCTGTCTTCTTCTCATAATTTCGGCGTTCATTGATCTCATTTGTAATTGTAATAATTGCTGTTGTGTTAAATTTGCATAAGGGTTTAATGGTTGTTGTTGTATTTGTTGTGGTGGTTTAGCTGGCATTGCTTTAGATAAGGGTTGTTGTTGTTCTTGATATTGTTGTGGTTCTACTAAATTATTTTCTTGTGGTTCCGGTGCTAAGGGTTCAACATTTATTTTCGTTTTTTTTCTTGGTGCATATTTTTTAACTGGTTTATCAATAATATTACTCGGTTTCTTTTCACACACGCTAGGATGACTATATCGTAAAGTTTTAGTTGTCATAGGTTTTTTACAATCTTTACATTCTGTAGGATTTTTAATAACTTCTGTTATTTTTACTCGTTTTTGTTCTTCTTCCACAGGTTCAATTTTTTCAATTTCTGTTTCAGGTGGTGCTTCTGTTGCTTCGTTTTCAGGTTCATCGTTAGTTACAACATTTTCTGAATTTTGTTCTGACATATATAACATTCTATATATTTTCTATTCAAAATTACATAGCATCTGTATTATGGAAGAGGAGGCTAAATGACAAATTAACACCGTTGAAATTTATAAGGTTGCCTATTTCATCAGTTATTCTAAATGTTAGTTTTCTTATTGAACGACGCGAGACATTTACATAGTCATAATCCGTGACACCGTAAGGATCATTTATAATACTAGCAAATGAAGCATTTACAGGAATTTTTTTTACTATGGCATTTGAAAATGTTGATGGACTGTGAAAATTATTATTTGATAATTCAGGACACGAAATATAAATGTCTTGATGTGCTAATAAATTTATAAATCCAGAAACCCACGGAACAGTAGAAGTTGAAAAATCTTGAGGTATAGGTGTATTTAAAACACTGTTTATACTGTTTAAATTGCTTAGATCAACATTATTTGAAAAAGACCCTACAAAATTTGCAATCAAGCTATCGGGAAGAACAATAAAAATAATTTCTGAAAAATTTGATTCAATTGTTATTTTATTTGAAATTGTATTATATGTAACTGTGTAT